TCTTGCAGAACTTAGCTCCGACCGCATGGACAGTTTCCACGAGCTTGTCATTCATATCGTACACTGCATTGTAATCTTCTAGGCACTGAAAGCGGTTACGTAACTCGAGTTGAAAGGTTTCGGGATTCTGGATTAAAGCACGAGGGGGGACGGAGCGTTGACTTCTTTAGACGAGACCTCTTTAACTTAACGTTTAGGTTCAGTTTACCTTTAACCATTCGGTGATCACTGCCAGTTTTCATCCTTGCGATCAGTGAGACATCACTGAACATTACCGTCTCGTCTTCATAATAAAGTCAATCTCATTTTTTATCGTACTGTCGGGCCTCGACCAGGTCCACTTTCTGTGGAGCCGCTTCAAGAAAAAAGACTTCATTATAAACAGTCCCTCCTTCTCCATGAAGTCGGCCAGCTGCTGGCCCCTTGTGTTCCGTTGCCCTAACCCAAATTTACCTATCGTCAGCTCACCTTTCTTCCTTTTGCTTAGTTTTGCGTTGAAGTCTCCCATTAACACCGTATAGTGGTTTTTATAAGAATGCATGGCTCTAGAAATATCATAGAGAATATCTAAAAATGTAATAGATGTTGGTGCGTAGACCTGTATGACCTTGGATACCGTTTGGTGATTCTAAATATGAGGTACGCAACCTTCGTCGACACACTACCAATCTTTACAAGGTTGTTAACGAGAGACTTGTGGACTATAAATCCAACACCTCCTTGGGACAGAATGGTCGCCCTCCCGGTGATAGAACAAGCTGCCGGATTCAAAAATCACCGTGTCCTTCTCCTCTCTTCGGACCGCGGATGATCCTTTAATATTCAAGCGCTACTTGTCTATCTCTTCTTCCAGCTCCAGGATCTTCTTGGTAGTCCTCAGGGTGCGTCCGTTGTTTGTTGCCAAGTCGAATCGTCTTAGGTGGCAATCGACCCTTCACCGGAGATTCTTAGCACCCCTATCCCGCCTTTACCATGTTCGCCACCTAGCCAGGAATAGCGCGGCCGCCGTGGAACTGGGGGCCGTTTACTTGTGTCGTTGCTCGTGGGGGGTATTTCCATAGTTGCCACGCTTTACGAGTGGGTTGGCAACTGCAATTTTTTTTGTTGTACATATGTTGTTATCAGGAAGATGCTGCTGCCCATCTCCTGCCGCCTTCCCTCTGTCGCCTTTTACGACACCCACGGGGATTCTTAACCGCCACTGCACGGCAGTAATTTTTAGCTTAGCGTTCTTTATTCGATCGCTCTCCAGACGGCCGGCAAATGTTATAAAAAACGGATGCAAAATATAAAAACTTGTATGCGAGCCCGTGTGTACTCAAGAATATTAGTATTCCTACACCCCTTGGAAGGGAAGAACTTTAAAGATGTTCCTTTAACTGATTCCGAAGAGCTAGTTTAAGAATTGGTACCCACATGTTAAACATAATATTACGTTTTTAATTAAATACTTTACTGATAATAAATAATAATACAAATATGATAAAGATGTTTTATTTTCTCCGAACATGAAATACAGTAACATAGGAAATCCAAATCGAATGAGTCTCATAACGTTAAGCAAGGTCCGAGACACAATACATATAAATAAGCCTAAAATACTCATTTTTTTCGGTACCGAAATTATTTCGGTAAAGGTATTAGTAAAATATAGGTATAACGATACCGTAAAAAAATATAGGTATAATTCTTTTTTTTAACGGTACCACAACCGTAATTCTCAACCGTTTTGGTTCTACCTTTAAATCGAAGCTGTATCGTAATTCTATACCGGTACCATACCCTTATACCTTTACCGCTTTCAACCCCTGGTTTTAACACATAGGATGCAAGAGAAATCGGAAAGATTTTTATGGGAGGCACAATACGGATTTAGACCTGGAAGAGGATGCACGGATCAAATGCTTTCACTCGCATGATCACGGAGAAGCTTCTGAGTGTTAACCAGAAGATTTTCTGTGCTTTTGTGGATCTGGAGAAAGCATTTGATAAGGTTATAAGGAAGAAAATGTGGGAACTGTTGCCGGAATATGGTGTGGATGGTCGATTGTTAAGGGCTGTGCAGTCACTTTACTATGACTGTAAAGCCTGTGTGCGGGTAGGGCTTGACCTGTCATCCATGTTTAGCGTCCAAGCGGGCGTAAAACAGGGTTGTGTCATGTCTTCCTGGCTGTTCATACTGTATCTCGACAGCTATTTACAGAAGCTGAAAAATAGCTGTTTGGGTGTGAAATTGGGTGACGTTAAAGTTAATTGTCTGCTGTATGCTGATGATGCAGTGCTTATTGCACCATCAGAAGCAGAACTGCAAGCATTAGTCACGTGTATGAAAGAGGAATGTGAAATTAAAGGTCCGTTTGAATGCTAATAAAACTAAGGTTCTGGTATTTGAAAAGGACGAAGAGAGAACGAAATGTGAAATATGGGTAAATCAGGAATGTCTAGAACAGGTAAATGAAATTGTATACCTGGGGAGTGCTTTCAGCCGGGATGGAAGATGTGATTTAGATGTGGACAGGCGTGTCGCTGCCGGGAACAAAGTCAATGGTGCCCTGAATGCGTTAGTCAAAAGACAAGGCGTAGTGAAGAGTTCACGCCTTGCAATACATAACGCAGTGTTGGTACCGACTTTGTTATATGGCAGCGAAACCTGGGTATGCCAGAAGAAGCATAAAAGCAAGTTGAATGCAGTGAAGATGCGATCTCTTCGTAAAATGTGCGGCGTTACCATAGCCGACCGAAAGCGAAACGAAGAGATTCGCAATATGGCAGGGTGATGGTGGAGAAAGATGACCTTATCACAAAAATTGATAGGGGCGTACTCCGATGGTTTGGGCACGTTGAGCGAATGAGTGAAGACCGAATGGTGAAGAAAATATATAGCGCGAAAGTAAATATTAAAAGGTGTCGAGGTAGAGTGAGACTAACTTTCGAAGACCATGTGAGCAAATTACTCGAAGAGGGGAAGGTCAAGAGTACTCGGATACGTAGACGTGAATGTATGAAGAAGTTAATGAACCTGAAAAAAGCGAAAGAGGTATGTAAGGATCGTGACACTTGGCGATCTGTTCTCTCTACCCCGTTAGGGATTGTGCGTGAAGATAAGTAAGTAAGTAAGTAATAAAAAATAATTAATTTTATTTGGTTTTAAAAAGTACATGCCTTAACAATATTTTTAGGATTATAGAAAATTGTAAGCCTAAAATGTATGAAAAAGCGTTCATTGGTTTTTCTTTATCGCTTTATTTTATTTTAGTCTACAATGCGACTTACTACGAAATAATGTTCTTATATTATAGCACGCGGTCTGTCAACATGTAATGTGACGTGCTACGAGATATAACGTGCTGCAAAGCTTAACGCGCTTGCCGGCCTCCTACACGCCTTCTTATAAATACCGTGCTATAGTATAGCGAATTTAATAGCGCGCTAGAAATTTATAGTTTATAGTCTGTAGCGTGCTATTGATTTATAGTCGTTTTGAACAACTTTACTAAAAATGACTCAACTATTGCCTACCTGGATGAGTAAACTCATACTCGCCAACCCCGCCATATTATTTTATAATTTACAACTCTTACTTTAATAAGGTCTTATATTTTTTACTATCTTTAAAATAACGGTTATTAAATTTAAGTGTGGAAAAGTTCTAAATCTAACATATAATTTTAGATAAATAATGGGAGGGAAAACATTGACACGGAGTGATAAAATTAATATAAGTTAGTAATTTTAGTAAATTATTTACTGATTTTTTCATTATTTATGCCGAACTCAAATCGACTAAACCTCACAACGATCACTATCAGCGTACATGGGGATCTCCTTTCGAACCTCGCCCATTTCTCGCTTTGGGTTATTCAAATAACTTCCCGGAGGTATTAATTGCTGCCGCCAGCACCATCGCGTTGCTATCACGATTTCGAAAGAGCTTCTGAGTCATTGTTGTTCTCGAGGATTCATTGCTAGGGCATGCGTCCCGCGCACGTCTCGAGCGCTCGCAACTCCAGAGGCTTTGTTACTTGTACGTTGACGTGAGCCCAAATGCCTTGTAACAACGGTTTTTGTGACACATGGCGATCATAGTGCGCTCTTTTGTTTTGAAGATAAAAGGGTAAAATTACTTGAAAGAGTGGCTCGTTTGTTAGCACATCGGGCACGGTGGGTTTGTTGAGTCGATACTCTCCCACTAGGAAGTCTGCTCTCTTTTAGCAAGGATCAGGCCAGTCGGTAATAATGCTCCTTACATTTCAGATCAAATCCCACCCACATCTCTTTTTATATATACGAACGGGGCATTTTTTAGCGCAGCCCATAGACAATTACAATCGACTTAAAGAAAAGAACGCTAACGTCATACAGAACTGGTTACGGCTTCCAGTTTTAGCAGAGATTAGCTACCTGTGTTGGACAAGATTATAGTATCTGAATGTAAGCACAGGAACATTTTCTATTCTCTCAATTCCAAAAACCGACGGGACGGCAATCCGGCACTACCGGAGAGAGATCAGGCGCATGGCCAACTGTTTCACGTGCTAACCAGGTCAATGGGGTAAAAAACCCAATAACTGATGTTTTGGTTCTACCCGGGATTTGCACCTGTGACCCCAATGAACAGCCGAGTTTACGACTACTTAATCAACGAGTACCAAGTTGTACATCCGTAGTCACTCACCTGATGCTTCCTTATTTATAGAAAAAGGGTGACAAACTAGCAAATAATCTAACATAAAATATAAGTGGATGCTGAGGTCTATAGACATCTACATCTATCCTCGATTAAGAATCAAAATGCAGATGCGTTGTCATAATTTAGGACCAAGGTAGAATGCCTCGTTACCAGTTAAAAGACTCCAGTTCTCTACACACACCATACGAATAATTAAGCTGCTTTTTACGCTGGTATTTTGTAAGAGCATGTCCTTCCCCGCTACCACGTATAAAAGTAGTGAGTGGACTGTAAGTTTGTTTGCGACTTCAGTTTTATATTGTATTGTCAGCGCGGAGCTACGCAGTTGGGGAAGATGGGGGAAGCGGGAGGGGAGATAGAGGATAAGGAAGAGAAAGCGCGTCGCTTGGGCGTGTCGTCGCTTTGGGTGGTGGGAGCGCTGGCGGTGGCAGCGCTGCTGCTGCTGCTGGCCGCAAGGGCAGAGCGCCACCTGCCACCAGCTCGTGACGCACCCCCTGACGACTTTAGTGGCTTCCGTGCGCATCGCTACCTCGTTAACCTAACCGCCGTCGGGCCGAGGGTACGTATTCACTACAATAACGCACGCTAATAAAGACTTTTTTATGTACTCCATGACGAGCTCTCGCCACACTGCCACTACAATAACGCACACTAACAAAGACTTTCTTAATGTACTCCCTGACGAGCTCTCGCCACGCTGCCACTACAATAACGCACACTAACAAAGACTTTATTTATGTACTCCCTGACGAGCTCTCACCACACTGCCACTACAATAACGCACACTAACAAAGACTTTATTTATGTACTCCCTGACGAGCTCTTGCCACGCTGCCACTACAATAACGCACATTAACAAAGACTTTCTTTATGTACTCCCTGACGAGCTCTCGCCACGCTGCCACTACAATAACCCACACTAACAAAGACTTTCTGTGTGTACTACCAGACGAGCTCTCGCCACAATGCCACTACAATAACGTACACTAACAAAAACTTTCTGTGTGTACTACCAGATGAGCTCTCGCCACACTGCCACTACAATAACGCACACTAACAAAGACTTTCTGTGTGTACTACCAGACGAGCTCCGACCTCCACTACTAACCACCTCTTTCTGTGTGTACTACCAGACGAGCTCTCGCCACACTGCCACTACAATAACGCACACTAACAAAAACTTTCTGTGTGTACTACCAGACGAGCTCTCGCCACACTGCCACTTACAATAACGCACACTAACAAAAACTTTCTGTGTGTACTACCAGACGAGCTCTCGCCACACTGCCCAATAACCACACTAACAAAAACTTTCTGTTTACTACCGCCCGCCACCCACTACAATAACGCACACTGACAAAGACTTACTGTGTGTACTACCAGACGCGCTCTCGCCACCCTACCACTACAATAACGCACACTAACAAACACTTTCTGTGTGTACTACTAGACGAGCTCTCGCCACAGTCCCACTACAATAACGCACACTAACAATGACTTTCTGTGTGTACTACCTCTCTATTATCTAGATGTTAGTGCTGTTAGTCTATGCGACTCTTACAGCTTAGACGAGCTCTCGCCACACTGCCACTACAATAACGCACACTGACAAAGACTTACTGTGTGTACTACCAGACGCGCTCTCGCCACCCTACCACTACAATAACGCACACTAACAAAAACTTTCTGTGTGTACTACCAGACGAGCTCTCGCCACAGTCCCACTACAATAACGCACACTAACAATGACTTTCTGTGTGTACTACCTCTCTATTATCTAGATGTTAGTGCTGTTAGTCTATGCGACTCTTACAGCTTAGACGAGCTCTCGCCACACTGCCACTACAATAACGCACACTAACAAAAACTTTCTGTGTGTACTACCAGACGAGCTCTCGCCACACTGCCACTACAATAACGCACACTAACAAAAACTTTCTGTGTGTACTACCAGACGAGCTCTCGCCACAGTCCCACTACAATAACGCACACTAACAATGGCTTTCTGTGTGTACTACCTCTCTATTATCTAGATGTTAGTGCTGTTAGTCTATGCGACTCTTACAGCATAGACGAGCTCTCGCCACACTGCCACTACAATAACGCACACTAACAAAAACTTTCTGTGTGTACTACCAGACGAGCTCTCGCCACACTGCCACTACAATAACGCACACTAACAAAAACTTTCTGTGTGTACTACCAGACGAGCTCTCGCCACGCTGCCACTACAATAACGCACACTAACAAAAACTTTCTGTGTGTACTACCAGACGAGCTCTCGCCACACTGCCACTACAATAACGCACACTAACAAAAACTTTCTGTGTGTACTACCAGACGAGCTCTCGCCACACTGCCACTACAATAACGCACACTAACAAAAACTTTCTGTGTGTACTACCAGACGAGCTCTCGCCACACTGCCACTACAATAACGCACACTAACAAAGACTTTCTGTGTGTACTACCAGACGAGCTCTCGCAAATACAAAACTTTCTGTGTGTACTACCAGACGAGCTCTCGCCACACTGCCACTACAATAACGCACACTCACAAAGACTTTCTGTGTGTACTACCAGACGAGCTCTCGCCCCACTCCCACTACAAGAACGCACACTAACAAAAACTTTCTGTGTGTACTACCAGACGAGCTCTCGCCACACTGCCACTACAATAACGCACACTAACAAAAACTTTCTGTGTGTACTACCAGACGAGCTCTCGCCACACTGCCACTACAATAACGCACACTAACAAAAACTTTCTGTGTGTACTACCAGACGAGCTCTCGCCACACTGCCACTACAATAACGCACACTAACAAAAACTTTCTGTGTGTACTACCAGACGAGCTCTCGCCACACTGCCACTACAATAACGCACACTAACAAAAACTTTCTGTGTGTACTACCAGACGAGCTCTCGCCACACTGCCACTACAATAACGTACACTAACAAAAACTTTCTGTGTGTACTACCAGACGAGCTCTCGCCACACTGCCACTACAATAACGTACACTAACAAAAACTTTCTGTGTGTACTACCAGACGAGCTCTCGCCACACTGCCACTACAATAACGTACACTAACAAAAACTTTCTGTGTGTACTACCAGACGAGCTCTCGCCACACTGCCACTACAATAACGCACACTAACAAAGACTTTCTGTGTGTACTACCAGACGAGCTCTCGCCACACTGCCACTACAATAACGCACACTAACAAAGACTTTCTGTGTGTACTACCAGACGCGCTCTCGCCACACTGCCACTACAATAACGCACACTCACAAACACTTTCTGTGTGTACTACCAGACGAGCTCTCGCCACACTGCCACTACAATAATGCACACTAACAAAGACTTTCTGTGTGTACTACCAGACGCGCTCTCGCCACACTGCCACTACAATAACGCACACTAACAAAGACTTTCTGTGTATACTACCAGACGAGCTCTCGCCACACCGCCACTACAATAACGCACACTCACAAAGACTTTCTGTGTATACTACCAGACGAGCTCTCGCCACACTGCCACTACAATAACGCACACTAACAAAGACTTTCTGTGTATACTACCAGACGAGCTCTCGCCACACCGCCACTACAATAACGCACACTAACAAAGACTTTCTGTGTGTACTACCAGACGCGCTCTCGCCACACTGCCACTACAATAACGCACACTAACAAAAACTTTCTGTGTGTACTACCAGACGAGCTCTCGCCACACTCCCACTACAATAACGCACACTAACAATGACTTTCTGTGTGTAATACCTCTCTATTATCTAGATGTTAGTGCTGTTAGTCTATGCGACTCTTACAGCTTAGACGAGCTCTCGCCACAGTGCCACTACAATAACGCACACTAACAAAGACTTTCTGTGTATACTACCAGACGAGCTCTCGCCACACTCCCACTACAATAACGCACACTAACAATGACTTTCTGTGTGTAATACCTCTCTATTATCTAGATGTTAGTGCTGTTAGTCTATGCGACTCTTACAGCTTAGACGAGCTCTCGCCACACTGCCACTACAATAACGCACACTAACAAAGACTTTCTGTGTGTACTACCAGACGAGCTCTCGCCACACTGCTACTATAATAACGCACACTAACAAAGACTTTCTGTGTGTACTACCAGACGAGCTCTCGCCACAGTCCCACTACAATAACGCACACTAACAAAAACTTTCTGACATACACTAAAAAATTGTGTGTACTACCAGACGAGCTCTCGCCACACTGCCACTACAATAACGCACACTAACAAAAATTCTGTGTGTGTACTACCAGACGAGCTCTCGCCACACTGCCACTACAATAACGCACACTAACAAAAACTTTCTGTGTGTACTACCAGACGAGCTCTCGCCACACTGCCACTACAATAACGCACACTAACAAAGACTTTCTGTGTGTACTACCAGACGAGCTCTCGCCACACTGCCACTACAATAACGCACACTAACAAAGACTTTCTGTGTGTACTACCAGACGAGCTCTCGCCACACTCCCACTACAATAACGCACACTAACAAAAACTTTCTGTGTGTACTACCAGACGAGCTCTCGCCGCACTGCCACTACAATAACGCACACTAACAATGACTTTCTGTGTGTACTACCTCTCTATTATCTAGATGTTAGTGCTGTTAGTCTATGCGACTCTTACAGCTTAGACGAGCTCTCGCCACACTGCCACTACAATAACGCACACTGACAAAGACTTACTGTGTGTACTACCAGACGCGCTCTCGCCACCCTACCACTACAATAACGCACACTAACAAAAACTTTCTGTGTGTACTACCAGACGAGCTCTCGCCACAGTCCCACTACAATAACGCACACTAACAATGACTTTCTGTGTGTACTACCTCTCTATTATCTAGATGTTAGTGCTTTTAGTCTATGCGACTCTTACAGCTTAGACGAGCTCTCGCCACACTGCCACTACAATAACGCACACTAACAAAAACTTTCTGTGTGTACTACCAGACGAGCTCTCGCCACACTGCCACTACAATAACGCACACTAACAAAAACTTTCTGTGTGTACTACCAGACGAGCTCTCGCCACAGTCCCACTACAATAACGCACACTAACAATGGCTTTCTGTGTGTACTACCTCTCTATTATCTAGATGTTAGTGCTGTTAGTCTATGCGACTCTTACAGCTTAGACGAGCTCTCGCCACAGTGCCACTACAATAACGCACACTAACAAAGACTTTCTGTGTATACTACCAGACGAGCTCTCGCCACACTCCCACTACAATAACGCACACTAACAATGACTTTCTGTGTGTAATACCTCTGTATTATCTAGATGTTAGTGCTGTTAGTCTATGCGACTCTTACAGCTTAGACGAGCTCTCGCCACACTGCCACTACAATAACGCACACTAACAAAGACTTTCTGTGTGTACTACCAGACGAGCTCTCGCCACACTGCTACTATAATAACGCACACTAACAAAGACTTTCTGTGTGTACTACCAGACGAGCTCTCGCCACAGTCCCACTACAATAACGCACACT